AAAGATGACTGGATAAAGAGATGCTATTTCGTGGAAGTAGGAAGATCAAGACCTAGACCAAGATGACGTGGACAAATGTGATAGCGGCGGATATGAGAAGTATGAATCTTACAAATATTGATGCTCAGGACCATCAAAAATGGTAAAGAAAAATCAGAGGGAAAACTGGCCTATATGGGTAAACCTGGAAATCACCATAAAACGGAGAAGAAGATATAATATCCATTGTCAATAAAGTAATGTTTAAAGGCAGATTCGTAGATTACATATTTAATTTTATATAATATCTCATGACAATATTATATGTTATACATGTCAAACATCAATATGATGTCAATCATTTAGATTTGGAGAAAGCAGCTTTCCTTGTGATACAATAAAATATTAGTTATTGATCTTTTTAGTGGGATGAAGCATATCCACTGAATAAAAATTTAAAGATTGATTTTGATATTGGCTTTTATTTAATTTTTATCTGTTAATTTAAAATGTGTCATAAGAAATACTTTTATTAATAAAAATGCAATATTATATCAAAGAAACAATAAATTGTAAGTATTTATATACATTTCCTTTAATTATTAATTTGAATGATTTTATGATATTGAATATTATTTATTTAATATTAGAAATAAGAGAAGAGGGGGGGGGGGATTAAATATACCTCATCTAGTGTCACAAGAAGATGTCAAATAACATATTCTTGTTTTCAAACACTTGAATTAAGAATTTACTAAAATATAAAAAGGCTGGCCTTATAAAGAATTATGAATTTTTCTACTATAATTGGTATGTTTTTCCAGATTTCGCATAGCATATGCTAGAGCAAGAATTAGGATCCCTTATTTCCAAATAATAATTAAACTCATAGTCTGAAGATATAAAAACATTTTATTTCAGAGAAATCATAAATTTATAAATATTATAAATAAATTAATTAAAAAAATAATATTTTTAGGCCAACAATTTTTTTTTACATATTTTCCTGTTTTATAAACTTTTATATTTTCATGAATTATATGGGGTTATTTTTAATATTTCTTTCATTTGTGACAAAATTTCCAAAAAAATAAATGAAGGCGACGTCTGCGGAGCCCAAAAATTAATCTCCTCACAATCAAAACTAGCCCCATCTAATGATGCGACACTTGAAAACCTAAAATCTCTCCATCCACGAGCTTCTTATACTAGCTTACCAAATCCTCCGCCCAATATTCCTCCTCTCACAATATCAAACCAAGATATAAGTGACACTATAAACGAATTTAATAAATTTTCAGCAGCAGGTCCTGACGGCTATAGACCTTCCTACTTCCAAACATTCATAAAATCTTCCAATTCAAATAGTTTTTTTTTAACTCACTTACATCCTTCCTCAATAATAATCACTAGAGATATCCCCACATTAGCTCATCAAATAATATTTGGAGCTAACTTGATTGCATTTGAAAAACCGAAAGGTGGTATCCGCCCAATAGCTATCGGTTCTTTCTTCAGACGCCTGATTACTAAAATCATCGCAAAAAAAATAAAAACCGTTACTCATTCCCTGCTTGGCAATTACCAATTAGGCTGCGGAACAAAAGGAGGCGTAGATATAGCCTCTCACTATCTCCGAATCTACCTACAACATCCACCTTTAAACTCCGTTCCTTGCAAAATTGATTTCAAAAACGCCTTCAATACAGTATCTCGTTCCTCGGCTCTCGAATCGTTTTACGATAATTTCCCCCAATACTCGCGCATTGTTGACATTTGCTATACCAATAGCACTCCCCTCATTTTCAATGGTTGCGTTATATACGCAGAAGAGGGTGTTCAGCAGGGCGACCCCCTAGGCCCTATACTTTTCTAGCCATCCATAATATGATGAAAGATCTCAAATCTAATTTTGATCTAGACCTTGATTTATGGTACCTAGACGATGGCACTCTCTGCGGTAACCAACATCAAATAAGCAAAGCCCTCTTCCACCTCGAAAAAGAATGCCCCAAAATAGGCCTAGAATTAAACAAAACCAAAACAGAAATCTGCATACTCAACCCCGAAATTCCCCTAGACTCATTTAAAGATTACAATATTATCGAAATCGAAGATATCCAACTCTTGGGCTCCCCACTACTAAATAATAAAATCTCGAATAAAACTATCGATAAAACCTTCTTCGAGTTGCAAAACTTGGAAAAGTTCATCAATTATATCCCATCGCACCAACTTTTTTATCTATTAAGTAAGTGCCTATATTTACCTAAAATCTCACACCTCTTCCACTCATCCTCCTCATTCACCTCCTCAGAATTTTTCACCAAGCATAATATTCGCTTAAAGACCTTAATGGAAAGGATCCTTAATCTTCCATTATCAGACTTTAATTGGCACCTTGCTCAATTACCCGCTAAACTAGGCGGTATCGACCTGATCCCCTTAGAATTACTCGCCCTATCTCTTTTTATCTCTAATTGCCTTTCGCTCAATTCCGCGATCTCATCTTTTATAACCCCCAATGACGATCTCTTAACAGTAGCAATCGAAAAATGGAATCTACTAACCCCAGACGGCCAAACATTCCTAACCGAAATTTCTAATAAATCAATCTTGGAACCCCTTATAAAGAAACTTCAAAATAGTCTCAACCCCTCCGATACAGCGATATTCAACTTCTTCAATTAAACGATAAATATGGCGGATATGAATGGCTTGAGGCACTTCCAAGCCTAACCCTTGATAATCTCTTAACCAATGACCAACTGAGAGTTACCATAGGATTTAGACTAGGATGCTCGCTAACACATTCACACACTTGCCACCTTTGCAACCTACCCGTACAACCAAATGCAAGACACGGCCTAAACTGCTCCCGTAGCCAAGGTCGCCACCTCCGGCATAAAGCAATAAATAAAATCATCCATAACGCTCTCAATAAAGCTAAAATTCCTAACATTCTAGAACCAACAAACCTCTCTCTACAAGATGGTCTCAGACCTGACGGTTTAACCTGCATCCCATGGTCCAATGGGAAATCCCTAATTTGGGACGCTACCTGTGTCTCTTCCTTTCCCTCATCAATTAATTCAAATCCTCTTACTAATGGCGAAAATAAAAAAATCAATAAATACTCAATATTAAATAATTTTATTTTTCAACCTATAGTCATCCATCACAACTAATGGTAATTTCTCCCAATCAACATATTCATTTTTAAAAATTTTAGCATGTAAAATTTTTAACATAACAAACGAAAAACGCGAGTCAATCTTCCTAAAACAAAAAATACAATTAGAAATTTTTAAACATAATTATACATGTTTTTTAGGTACATTTTTACTATAAGCTCTTTTTAGAGCCATCGATATATTTAAAATTTACACTCATTTTTAATATTTTTAATTTGTATATTAGTTATTCTTGTAAATTGCTATTATTAATATGAAAATTAAGTATAATAAAAAAAAAATTTTCCCAAATAAAAAAAAAAAAATTAATCAATTCTTCCAAAAAAATCAAAATTTTACATAAATTTTAAATTTATATCATTTTATAATAAAAAAATATATATTCATATTCTTTTGTAAATTAAACAGCCATTTTTGTTATAAAAAAAATATACAAATTAAATTTTTTAAAAATTCTCCAACTTGAAGAATTTTTTTTGTTATTTTATTATCTTATTATATATTATAATTAATTCTGCATTCATTAATATATAAATATTTAAACAATAATTAATATTATTTCTTTTTGAAAAGTTCTATATTACAATTTATATGTAATTTGAATAAAACATAAAAAAATTATAAATACATGAAATCTTTAACCTTAGAATCTTTATAACCATAAATTATTAAAATAGATGTTGCAATTTTCAAAATGGCGATTATTTTAAAAATGTTTTTATAACATTATACAATTGGGTATTGTGCAGTGTATGTTAATATAATGGTTATGTATCACTGAAATTTAGAGAATTATATTAAATAAATTAAAGGATAATTAATCTTATGTTGTAGAATTTCAGTTATTGTTATATTTTGGTTTGATTGACTTTATATCATAAGAATTTCTCTTAATATAGCTGATTTCTCAAAACTTATTTTTATATCATATTCATTTTAAAAAATCACTCATTTCAAAAAACTATTTTAAACCCGAAGAATCATGATTTATTGGTTTTAGAGGGGACAAATCTTTAATTTAATGTTTTCTATTTCTTTGGTTTATAAACATAAAAAAATTTTATTAAAATTGAAAGGGTCGGGTTGAATCGCTTTTATAAAATATTACCTTAGTATAAGCATAATCTTCCAGAATATGCCTCTTCTAACCCCGATTTTGGTGATATTGTGGCTTTGCCTTGAACCTGCATTGTCAGAACACCGCAAGGAATAAAAAAATGCCATTTGCTGAAACCCTGACGGAATGAAATCGGGGGAAAAAAATTATGGTAGTACTTTTAACTAAGATTATTATTTTATGGTAATGGGAATTTAATTATTAATCAGGTGAAAATAACACATTTTATCTATGGTAAAAAAAATGACATATCATACTGGACATTTCCTTGGAAAGAATGTCCAGGTGACAATTCACGAGCAGCTAAATAAATGTTTACAGGTGTTTTCCATATTCATAATCTAAAAGATTAATGAGGTTTAATTATGTTAGCTCAATGGTTTATATATGCAAATTAGTTTTTTTAATTGGCGTGGTAGGCCAGAGGTAATAACTCCTAGAATGAGGCCTCATATCTATCAAGTCCTGGCTGGGAAATCAGATATTTCATTGAAAGGACTACGCGTCTAATAACAAATTCGTACAGCAAAAATAAAATTGGCCTGCATTCCAGATCACAGAATTTGCCTAATCCCTCCAAAAATATAGATGTGGGTATATTATATAAATGTGTTCGAGATCCCGGGGCTACTATTATTTCAAAAGTATGATTTTTTCGGCTGAAATCGGAACAAAATATCCTTGTTCCGTGTCCCTCGAAATAAGAAAACCTCATAATATTTGCTTGAACTTCGGGAGTACTCATGTGTAAATTCAATTTTGTGCCAACCAAAAGTCTAAGTGATGCCGTAAATCTTGTATTCGTTTTTAATACTTGAGGAGGTTGTTTTTCGATAACAAATGTGCTGTGAAAAAATAATATACTATTATCAATAAACATGTTATTTACTCATAAACTAGAGAAGATAATATTTTTAATATATTTGAGTTTAAATTATGTAACATATCATTGTGTTCCAATATAGCAAACTGATTTTGAAAACTTAAAAGTCTTTTTATTTGTTTTCTATTACGCCAAGCTACATCCGATATTTGTTCGAACCTTAAAAAGAAATAAATGAATCATAAAAATAGTATATTAACCATTTTTGGATTTGATTTAAATTATCATCAAATGGTACTCCACTCCCAGACAATTTTTGGTTTATTTTCCATTTAATTAGCTCTTCATTAATAACAGTGTTCATGAAATCCAGTAGTAAATTTTGTGTTTTTAATAATTGCTCAGCAAAATGCTTTTGTGAAGATTCAAATATTCAGATTTAAAATATAATTACTAATCTTTTTCCACGTATCTCAACACTTTTTGATTCTAAAGCCTGTAATAGTGTATCCTTATTATGTTTAAGCCTAGCATATTCAATCATATGAGATTGTGCATCTGAATGTTTATTATCCTCAATATTATAAGATGTAGCAAAATGTTTAACTTGAGCTTTCAAAATTATAAATTAATGGATTATAAATTTAATAAAATATATACCACATAATTTTTTTCCTTCTTGGTTATTTAAAATAAATGACTCTTGTTCTTGTTGTATTTGCTGTAAGAGATCATCAGCCTCCTAAAAAAATTGATTTATTAATTTTAATATATATATAAACATAGGTTCGGGTGTGAAGTAATTCAAATTTGGATTTATAAGCAGGGTTGTCGGCATAAGCAGAAGAGGGCGTTAAATGCTAATGGAAAAAATTGTATTTGTGATAAAACTTTTATAAAACTTTATCCTTTTCAACAACGAGACTTTTTTCCATTTGTAGACAATTTTGTATTGTTCGAACCATTTCTAAAGGATTATCGCTATATAGTTCCTAAAATTTTAAGGGTTATAAATAAAATAAAATATGTAAACTTGAAAATATTTTGCAGATGATGATAGCCTATAAGTCAATGGCATAAAGTGAACACCTTGGTTAGCTAACTCAGATATTGATCTATTTATTTCAAAAAGAAAGGATTGAAACAAATTTTGGGCATAACTCAAATGCTGAATGTTGTCAGGATTGATGGAATGCCTAGTATTTGGAAAAATTAAAATATAAATTTAATCTTTTAAATATGGTATGAAAAATAGAGTGTGGATATAAATTTGCAAATTAACAAATATCAGACCCGTAAGCCCGGCAGTATTTTAATATGCACGGGCCGAATCGTATTTTAATTTTAATATATCCGAGCCAAACCTATAAAGATTTTTAATATCCGGGCTGGGCTGAATATTTTAAAACCAAATATTATAAATCGCCATTATTATCTAAAATAAATATATATTTTAAAAAATTCGAGCCGGATATAAAATCCAGGCCGGGCAGTCTGATAAATATATTATTATAAAATAATTATTAAACTTTTTAAATTTAATTATAAGATTAAGATGATATTTAAGAAACAATAATAAAAACAACTATTACATATTTCTTAGTATTTTATTCGAAACAGTATTTAAATTGATTTGTCAGTAATAGTAAATATAATTTTCTACATTATTTTAATTTTAATAGCAATAAAATAAGTATATAAACTGTACCAGTAAAATAAATTCCTTATAATCAATTATATCCAAATTGTTATATTTTTGATATGAAAATATAAATTATAATCACTAATCAATTCAAATTTAGCTAAAAATCGGCGAGAAAAATGATTTGATAAAAATCCTGTATGTCAATTAATTAGTTGGAAAATAATATAAATCGAACGTTTAATTTTTCTTTATTGCTCATATTTTAATTTCCTTTTAAAATGATACAAAATACAACCAAAAATAACAAAATTTTAAGAATTTCGAGCAGGGCCAAAAAATTATCACAAATAAGATTTTGGACTGAGCCAAAGAATATCGCCAACCGGGCCTGGTTAAAACTCTAAATTTTTAAAAATTGCGTAATTGGCTGGGCTGTAAAATATCTTCCCAATCTGGGCGGCTAAAATTTTAATCTCATCAGTCTTTGATTTTAATATTAAATAACAAAAAACTAAACCTTGCGGATTAAATATTAAATTATATTTTATTATTAAAATTATTTTTAACATAATTATCAGAGACCTGCAGTGGCACCATTTGCACGGCCGGGCCCGGATTTTTTTAAAAAAATTTTCGGCTAGGCCCGGGTTTTATATTTTAGGCAGGATATTTTTAAAATGTATTACATTTATTTTTAAGATTTACACCATCTTTTGTTATATTTTTAAATGGAATATATTAATCTATAAATTAACCTATATTCAGTAATTTATAATTTTAATGATTAACCGTACATCGTATCACGTCAATACCCGCGACTTTTTCTGGGAAAAACATTATAGCTAATATATTAGCGCGAATGCATTACCGCGAATGCATCATAGCCAATGCATTTTAGCGAATTACATCATGCATTATCGAAAATACATTACAGCAAATGCATTAACTAATATCGCATATGCAATAGTGATTTATAGTTGACAAATGGTTGACATAATTAATAAAGAGTATTAAAATTTCTTTTGCTACTTATCCACTTACTTTCTAATAAAGAGTTCACCATTAAAGTTTTTATTTTTTAAATATACCGGACACTATAATTTTTTTTACCTTTTGAGAGTTCCTGGTCCATAATATTATTCCACAAGATCTCTTTTACTCTAAAATAAATCTTTAAACTTTCTACTGCCATATTCTAACTCATTTAGAAGCTCAAACCTTTTTCAAAAAACTAAAAGCCCAATGAACCATAATTTTTTTCTACCTGATCTCTATTTCTCTGAGGAAATTCTTTGACTCACTACTTATATTCTAACTCATTTAGCAAGTATGGACTTTTTTTAAAAAACTAGAAAACCACCTTAATTGTCGGTTCTATATTTATTTAAAGTAGTGTTTTTAAATCTTTAAGACTCTAAAACACGTCACTTGCTATTTATGAAATTTCGTAATTTATTAAGAAATATAATTTTAGTATCCTCAATTTTTTTAATAGTCGTTATTTTTAGAAATTGTGAAACACTAATATTTGACAAAGAATAACTTAAGACTCTCATTTATATCTATTTAAAATGGGCCAGAGTATTCCATTATGTAGATCTATAGCCAGGTGCTGACCTTTTTTTCAAATTATAAATTATAATAGAAAACATAAACACTTTGAGATCTTGTTAAAATAATGAATATAATTCATCTATCCTATTTTTTTCTTTTATAACACCTTACAATAAACGCCAATTTGATTATTTCTTGCAAAATTAGGGCCATATTTTATTGATTTTTCTTTCAAGTTTGAGTCAAAAGGTAGTAGCCTATTACTTGATAATTTTTCGGTATATGGAACCCGTGTTTTGGGGTATCTTTAAAGCTTGTTGAACTGAACGAATATTCCATTTCTAGAGAAATCAGGAATTAAACTTGGTGCATTCCATTTTTTCTTCTCATGGCATCTTCTTTTGATAAAATTTACAAAAGTATCGAATGGTTTTTTTATATTGTTAATAGCATTTAATAATGAGAATACCGAAATATTTTGTGTTATAGTTTATGATTTAGGATAAATTTTTAAAAAGAAGAGCGTGACTATATTTTTTTATTTTAATTTTCTAAAAAACCCCACTTAATAAAATTTAAAATATTTTGAGAATATTAATACACAAAATAAAATAGGAAATTTCATAAAAAACGAATGAATTTCAGAGTTATAGATCTCATGAATAACTTTCATCCAATAGTAGGGACTAGGGCTAGTCGGAACAATTTTTGTCAAAATCATCAGAATCCTGAAAATAATTGTTGTATTTAAATTTATAATATACCATGAGATAGCCCAGCAAACATTTACCTAAAGTCATACATTAATAAATATTTTTAGTATTTTATATTTTATCTAAAGATTGATTCTAGTAAAGGTTATTTTTGAGACATCAGGCCCCAAACAAGGGGCTTGTAGATTCCATTGACTTATTAAGTCTCCTATAGGATAATTAATATTATTATTCCAATTTTCATGGATTATGTTTTAATCATATAAAAATGTCAAAATATGACATTTTATTAATTTAATTATTTTTTTGATATTTCTCTAAAGTAAAGCTTCCTAAAGGTAACGAGAACGGTAATGCGATTCTTTTTTTTAAATAACGGTAATGCAAAACGTTACTTTAAATTTTTTCAAAAAATATGGGAAAAACATATTTTATTGTATTATAAAATTATTTTTATTTATTTTTTGAATTTATAAATAATTTAAGCCGAACAGATCAACCATAAAATTTCCCCATTTTTATTTTAAATTTTCATTGTTAGATTTTCAGTCAAAATTGTAAATCTAATTAATATTTAATCAATCAAGATATGTTAATTTATATTCTTATTCTCTAATATTATAATTTATTTAATAAAGAATATAATGTCAATTATACATATTTCTTCAGATGAAGATGATTTGGCCTGCCCTGGTCCCAGTATGTTTTTTACACCAATATAAAAATTAAGTGTACAAAGTCTAAACTTTGTAAAATTGTGTCGCAACTCTAATATTTCCTAAATTGTGGAATAAGTATGGACAGTCTAGAAATTGTGCAGCCATTAAGGAAGAAATAGGAATATGAACTCTTTTTATAACTAAGTGAAATTAATTATCTCATTAAGGAGAATAACCAGTTTGACGAATCTTGTGATAACTGAATCGCAGAGATTTTCAGATAATGACAAGTTTTTCATATATAATGTATGATTAGTGTACTAAAAAATGATATGTGTATATGACTTTAATGGAACCTGTTGCTACGCTCTTCAGATTTTAGAACATTTGGGATATCTCACTTTCATGATAACTATAATAATATTAAAACTTTAAAAACTTGCTTTAAATAATTTAAGTTTTGTATGGCACTTATTAATGCACTGCAAGACAAAGACATATATAAAAGTTAACAATTTATATTTTGATTATATTTATTTTCTATAGATTCGAATACAAAGATTAATATATACTAAGCAAAGCAATAATTCACTCGCTACTTAATTTAGATTAGTCCTGGATAAAATATAGGTCAACGAAGTTAGAAAGCTTGAACTTATTTCCAGTTTGAGAAAGTATCTTGACACATAAAAAGTTGACTTTGACCTTTAAAAAATAACACACATACCAGATTATTTTCTGATAAAGATTAAAAAAAATTGATAAGGATCTGAATGAAAATTCTTTTGAAGATGATCTATCAAGCTTTTTTCAATTTTTTTCTAATTTTTAATAAATTCCCCCAATTAAAATTTTTATTTATAAAATATAATACAAGTTTTCTATCCTCGTGTCAGTTGAACGTGTGTTTAGGCGAAAGATGTGTTAAGCACTCTCTTGTATATCTGAAATTTAGAAAATCAATCGTTAAAAATAAATAAAAAATTATTTAAAAAATATTTTATCTTATAATATATTATTTGTGTATAATTTTATTTATATTATAAATGGGGGAAAAATTATTATAAAAAGATCTCATCTTAAACTGGAGGACATCTTTACACTTCTTCCATCACACAAGTCCTTTTTTTTGCTAAAAAATTTCTTTTTTATACCAAGGATTCTTTACGCACTTCGGTCAACACCAATTTTTAAATATCCTATTCCTCTCCAAACTTACGAAAAAGGAATAAAGGACTTAACCGAAAAAATAGTAAATATCAGATTCAACGAAACCGCTTGGGCCCAAGCAACTCTTCCAACCAAATTTGGTGGTCTCGGCATCAGATCTCCACATGACTTAGCAATAACTACTTTCATATCGAGTAGTCTCTTGACAAAGCCAATAACCACCGCCCATAATTCTAAAGAAGACCTTTCCTTAATTGTGGCTATGGATATTTGGAAAACAAGGATCAATGCTGATTCTCATCCTCCCACAACCCATAGACAGAAAGACTGGGATGCACCAGTGGTTGCTCGCTGCGTTGAAACTCTCTTATCTAGCATGCAATCTACCGACCGCACCCTATTCTCTTCCCTGCTCAATGGTACGGGACATGAGTTTCTTGAGGCCATCCCATCTA